AAGCCATTAATAAAACAGAAGGTGTATTATTTAAGCACCTAGAAAAAATGCTGAAAGAGATCAGAGAGAAAGAGTGGAAATAAACAAATAATAGTGAGTTATTGTTATTTAAAGTTATTGGGCTAAGTTTGAGATGACTGCAATCTCCCATTTTACCACTAGGTGTCAGTAACTTCTACATTGTTCCTTTAGTGTAAAACCATAATATCACCATCTGCATCATCAGACATTTATTATATTCTCTGTTCTTTGGTCCAGTTTCTAAACACAGTTACATTTTTTATTATTATCTGACATTAAATCAGACTAAGCTTTTCCTTCCTTAGTTTGAAAAACTAAAAAAGGACATGCAAGAATAACTCAAGAAGAAACACTTATGACACCTATGTGTCAGAAATATTTGAGATTATTTATATTATTAAAGTCATAAATTAACATAAGACCATGATGTTTGAAGCAATTGGGAAACTCCAATGATGATCCTTTGTGTTCTTTCTGAGAACATGTTGGCCTTTTAGAGTCTCTTTAATCTACATTTGTTTATTTATTCAAGAGCAAACTGAAACATCTGATTGTTTAGCCATTATAAAATGAACATGTTCTCTAATGTTTGGGATTTTCAGCTCATTGTGTGGTTTGATCCTGTTAGCTGTTTTTTATTAGATTTGTACTCAAACGCAGATCATGTTTCATGTTCAGTTTCAAAATGTTCCCTTGACATCATGTCCTGTTTCCATGAGGAAGATCAGTCTCTTAGTTCATCATGTGTTTGTCTCGTTTCATGCAATCGAAGTCAAACACGGGAAAAGGGCGTTGCCACAAATGTTCCACTATCAGGTAACCTGCACACCTGGGCAAAAACTAGTTTCATTTCTGAGGAACTGAAAGTGTCTCTAGAAACAAACCTTGTACATTTATTGCTTTCATGAAGAGGATTGTGGGACCACATTTTCTTTACACAAGAAATATTTTAAACATTTAGACAAAATTCACACGTCTGCAGAGAAACATACTTGTATAAAGTTTTAATATGTTTATATTTGCCTAGATTACTTCCTCAGTGCTTCTTCTTTTTTCTGACTCTTGCCATGTTTATCTGCTTATCTTTCATGTGATCAACGTCAAACATGAGAAATGGGTGTGATTTCCATTCCTGGAAAAAAAAAACTAGTTTCGTTTCTGATGAACTGAAAGTGTCTCTAGAATCAAACCTTTTACATTTATTGCTTTCATGAAGTTGGGATTGTGGGACCACATTTTCTTTAGACGAAAAATATTTGGAAAATTTATGAAATGAAATGAAATGAAATTTTATTCGAACATGATACAAATATAAAATAAAATAGTGCACAGTAACAAGAAGTGCATAAGAAAGAAGAGAAAATACAGATTTTTTTGTTTCAGTTAACATATCATGCTCAAAATGGGGTAGGAAGAAGTGAGAACTTATTTAGACAAAATTCAAGTCTGCAGAGAAACAGGTTTGGCTCTCGTGGCCTTTATTTTAATGTAGTTTGACAGGAAACAGGGTAATAAGGGGAAGATATGCAGCAGATGTCGCCAGGCCGGGAATTGAACCTGCGACCACTGGAATGAGGAATAACGCCTCAATATGTGGGTCATGCCTCGCCCCTGTGCCACCAGAGAGAGAAACATATTTTATACAGTTTAAATATTTATATTCATATAGTTTACCTGCACAACACTTCCTCTTTTTTAGGGCTGGGCAGAGACATTTCTAGGGCCTGGGGCCAAAGTTAAAAAGGGGCACATATAGCAAAATCTTAAGACATCGTACAGTAACATAGCAACAATCCATATTGAATCTAATATTTAATTGGATCATATTTTGTCCTTCTCATCATGTGGGGACAATGCAAAGCAAATTTAGTTCATATTTTCCCTGATAGGTATAAAGTTGCTGTTGAGGCCTGTGTTGATTTAAGACTGTAGACTCAGACTAATGGAGAGAAAGTCACTGGGTTTATTTACTGTTATTTTACTAAATAAACTCTAATAATATCTGACTGTTTACCTCCATAGCAGCTAGGCTGCTTTAAAGATCGACACAGCTCAGAGGGGTTAACGCTACATAATTTTTCGATGCTAGCACTTCTGAGAGATCTAGAATTTGTTTTAAATGACAATGCTATTAAATTTATTTCATGCTTTCAGCAGCAATAAAAAAATTAAATAGTACATTTACGATATAATTAGGAAGCTTACTTTGTAAGAGTGCATAGAATCATCAGGATGGTTTGATAGTTGTGTTGCCATGGCTACAATATGGTGCTATCTGTAATCTTTGAGTTTGAGCTCAGTTTGTTCACACATACATCACAGCTAGTTAGTTCAAATAATAACCAGTAATCAGTGATTGATTACCAATTAACCTGGACTCCCTTTCACAGACTTTACTAAATCTATATTTAAACACTTGGTGATGCTGAAGGGGGACCCTAAACCAGATTCTGCCTAAGGCTCTATGTTACCTTGGGCTTCATGGGGTGAGTTTTTTCCGATTAGTTCTCTTCATTCAGCAGGCGGCCTGTTATGCTGGTTAATGTGTTTACAGGTTCATTCTGCAGCCACTGCTAAAATCTGCCTGACTGAAAAGGCAGAAGGTAGGTAGAAAAGGCATTGATATGATGTAGTTTGAGGCATCACGGCGACGCAGAACAAGAGGGTGCTGCCTGCGACCTGCTTTGGCATGGAGCTGCGTGGACGGTCCACAGGCCCACTAACAGAGCGGCCCACCGGGGAATCCCCAGTTATTCCAGTCCGCCCCTGTTTTTGGGACATCTTGATTTATTTAATTGTGGCATGTTTGACTTTATGCTACGGTCCAAATTGTTGGTGCAGTATATTTATGTAATATGGACCAAATCTTTCTGTAGCAGGTGTTAAGGAAGAAAATTTCTAAATTGGTTAACTTTGGAAAAAGTTTGGCTCTCTCTTCCTCTGGATCCCAGGTCCTCTCGGCGAGCCACGTGTGGCCACAAGGAAAACAACAATGCGTGTTGACGTCACAGAATTACAGAGTTTAATCCAATATAAGACAATGCACAAACTTACACCAGAAACTGCAGAACAACGGAGACAGACATTCATTTACCTGACAGACTTGGAAAAGAAGGAAAGAAAAAAATGCAAAGACGTCTTTGGAGAAGTTGCAAGAGCAAATCTGATTTGTTACTCTGTGTAGAAAGTTTAATCTTCTTTTCTTTAATTTATTCAAATAAGGCGTATCTTTGTTCATCCAACCAGGAGCTATCTCTGACCCTCTATCTGAAGCCAGACACCCCTGCCGTGTTTACGGCTTTTCACAGATGAGTGTGAAAAGCTAGAACTTCCACTGTATTGTTTTCCACACAGACAAAAGGCAGTTCAAACGATCCTAGCAAACCATCCGCTGTAACTACAGGTAACATAAAGGTCAATAGGCCAGAATACATCACTAATTTCAAAACCACAATTAGGGCATTTGAATCAAGACATGTTAAGTTTTAAAACGAGCTTATTTTAAATTTATTTTCTCAACACAGTTGAGGTTCTCCAGCCCATAACCCGTCAGCAACCTTGTAAACCCACCCGGTAGTAATTTTAAGGTGTGAACGAACAGTGAGCAGGCGGTACCAGGACCTTGAGATGTGTCACAGTGACAGTTGCAGGAGGTTTTTTCCAGCAATTACGAGGATAATTACAAAAATAAATAAAAACTATTTTACTATCTTCAACATTAGACCCATGGTTTTATTCACAAACAAGTGTATGTTGGAAAAAAATACATTCTTGCCCATAATCTGTTGGAGGGTGCAGATCCAACCCACCGATGGGTCTGGTGTCTTAACAACATGGAGGCAGAGGAACTGACAATCAGTTCAGTCATTTTTAGACTGAGGGCAGCCAGACTGATTTATTCTGCTGATATTGTTATTGTTGGCTAAATAATACTGTTGAGGGACACAAGAAGGCCTCCTGATGCACACATAAAGAAATGTAAAAAAAAAAAATAATTGAAATTGAAATTCAAAAATTCAAAAAAGGGGATTTGGGGCATCGAGGATAAAAGGGGCAGGAGCTCAATCCCCTCTACTTCGTCCCCCTGCACATGCCTGCTCTTTTTTATGACTTCCTACATAACAACTCTACTCTGTAAACATATTTATTCCCTCCCTCTTCTGTGCAGCAGGTTGAAGATGGCTGTAACCAGCCTGTAGTTAAATGTATGAAGTGAGGTTTTCATTATTTCTTCACAAATTAAAAAACATTTAGTGAAACTTAAACTAGTTTCTGTTTTAGGAAGTGAAACCACTGCAACTCATCCAGCCATCTATTGTCTGGACTTGCTTATCCCTGCAGGGTCTGATGCCTATTTGCAGCAGTCATTGGGCGAGAGGTACAATCTTCCTTCCTCTCACCCAATGAGAGGTCGGGAGATTAATTGCTCATGTTGCCAGTTAATCTAAGAATAACCAAGAGAAACCCATGGAAACAACCAAGCACAAACACCCTGACGGACAATTCCAAGGAACAGTTTTCCTATCAGGCATGTTTTTCGGGTTGTGCATATAGCAAACAGCTGATAGCAGTTATTGCTGCCAAGGATAGCATAACAAGCTTTTGGTTTAGAGGTTAATTATTTTTTCTCACAGAACCGGGTTGGTTTGAATAACTTTGTTTCTCTCCATGAATGAAATCATAATTTGAACATTGTTTTTAATTCACTGAGGTAGTCAGATCTAACTGTACTAACATGTCTTTACAGACAAATATATTACCTGTCAAATTGTCTTTTTGTAGAACCAGTTTCAACAAAACCAAACCTGAACACAATATTTTTTATGACCTATGGAATCAGGAACTTTTACACAGTAAATGTTTAACCCATTGTAAGACAAAGGTTATATGTACAGTGCTGCACCTAGAGGGTATAAAAAGTTAAAACATCCTGCTCATCATACTCTTATCACTATGTGTTCCGGTGAACTGCTAGGAAACCACTTCCTTCTGTCACTCCCCTGCACCTTTCTGCAGCTCCCCTCTGCCTGTTAGTGAGGAGAACCAGGTGGACTCAATCTTCAATCTCCTAGCAATCAGAGTGCACCTACTTTAGTGTGGCTGACCTGTCAGTCCTGGTTTGAGAGCATGCGATGCAAACAGTGCTGAAGCATTTGACTCAGAACTGTGTAAAAGTTTCAACAAGCTGTGAAAGACAGCCGGTAAGGCTCAATGCTGCTGCTCACTGCTGAATTGTTTGTTGTATTATTGGTGTTGTACTGTTTAGTCTTATTGAGGTCAAGTTAGTGGATTGAAAAGAAAAAAAAAGGAAATACACTTGGTGTTTATTGGTTAAAGTAGAAAGAAAAGGGAATGTCGGTGAGGGTATTTAACAAATTTTGATAAAAAAGAAATGCCAATATATGTATGTCTGTGTTTAATCAACAAATATATATATATATATATATATATATATATATATATATATATATATGAGATAATTGGTTTGGTGGGGTAGGAATCTGATTTTCACAATGTTATTTACTTAATGTCAGAATGTAATAGATGTCTTTCTGTTTCTTTTTGAGGTTTTTCACCTATTGAGATGAGCTATGTGGGCCATCATGTAAAAAATAAAGATGAGTCAACAAAATTAAAGTCTCTCTGAGTGGGATCAAGTTGAAAGTTCACAGTGGAAACGATCCTTTTCAAGTGAGGATCACATAGTTAATCAAACCAGAAAGAACTTGACACTATGTTATCTTCCCTTCAAACATGTAGGTTAAAGTAACCAAGATGTGATAGAGCACAAGGTCCCTTAAATAGGATTACTCAATTTCAGACCAAGAAAGTCTAGGTATTCTACTTTTTCGGGCAGTATGAAATGACCTGATCTGATAGAATTGTTTTTGCAGGATCAGGTAGATCCTGCAGTGCAAGTAATGGCCTTTAAAGTCTATCAGATAATTTTTCAATCTTTCTCAGAAAAATCACATCACTTGGGTTGGACGTTTGTTTTTTCCAACATTGTGATAGAAGAATAGAATAGAAACAGCATTAATGTCCCACAGAGGGGAGACTCAGGTGATGAGTGTAAAAACTGAATTTGAAGGACAGCTGAATTTATATACTAACAAGATTAAAATATAAGAAAATACTGTCTGACTTTCACAGAAAAAGAATCATATTGGTTTGGTGAGCATACAGTCCACATGGAGACATAAATACAAGCCAAAAGTCTAAAAAAGCCAAAGAAAGTTTTTCAGAACAATTGGTTGTTACTGAGTGGATATTTACATTGAAACTTGGTCATCAGTACAGTTCCAACATATAAAAAAGAAATTATTATTTAAATAAAAATTAAATATCACAAATATGGTTGATTTAGTCACAAATTTAAAATTCATAGCACAAAAACAGTTATTTTAAAAAAGCCTGCTTTTATTTTTGAGTATCTCTGTTATGATCAGTCGTGGGGTTTTGGGTGCTACTTGATTTTGTTGATTATTGTCGTTAAGGGTGTTCCATACTAATTTCAGTGTTGAGTTTCTTAGTTCTTCTTGTCTTTGGCTCTTTGTGTGTTTGTTTGGATTATTATTGTGTTGATTTTTTAGGACTTGGTCCAGCTTAATCCTTTTGTGTTCTGGATAAGTTCCCTTAATGTTCGTCCTGTTTCAGTTGCTATCTTGAGATTTTTCTCAGCTGCTCTATATTCTCTTCATTTGTAATGTCATTTATCCATCTTTATCGTGGTTAAAAGCCTGTCAGTTTCTTCACCTCCTCTGCGGAGCCTTCCTTATGCAGTTGTTTATTGACCATCATTCTTCACCTGTATTCTCCTTACAACTGTTCCTCACATGCATTTTTTCAGTTAGATACAACTTTGATGATTTTTTTTTCTAATTATTTGTCTTCATGAAATATATTTTGCACATTTTCTTTTACATGCTAGTACAGGTCTCTTAGTATCAATGATGGGAATCACCAGAAGAGTGTTGAGAAAGTTTTTGGGAAAATTGTTGTCGTCTTTTTTAGGATATTATGCCCTGTTTCCACTGAGCGGTGCAGCACAGGTAGGTGTGGTTCTGTACATTATTTTATAAAATACTCACCTACATGACACACTCAATGAACTGTGTTGTGTGACACCAGCAGCTCCACTCTAAGCATCTCAAGAAGCCACATTATCTACTCAAACAGTTACTAAAAGCTATTATAAATACCTGACTGATCAGCCATCACACCTTAGACACTTTTAGTTGTTTTTCAGCTCATTGTGTGGTTTGACTCTCCTAGCTAGTTTTTTATGTAGTTTTTCAAATCCAAGTCATATTAGTTAATGATTAAGACGAGTGTTTTTTATTTTTCAGAATGTTGTCTTGACACCAAACTGTTCCTGTGAGATAAATGAGTTTTCTCTGTGCTGACTCATGTCCTCCATTTATCTCTGTCTCTCATGTGATCAATGTCTGATGTAAGAAATGGACACCAGCTTGAAGTAATCAAGTATAAGGTGTGATTTGCGCACCTAATCCTGAACTACTTTTGTTTCTGACAAACTGAAACTGTCTCTAGAAACAAACAACATGGTTGGTTACTGGTCCCCTTCTTTAGACAAGAAACATTTGTAAAACTAAGACATAACTTATTAATCTGCAGAGAAACATACATTAAAATATGTTTCTCTATGTTCATCTGCCACATTTCCTCATTTTCCTGACTTCATACCTCACAACTCTACTCTGTAAACATATTTATTTCAGGTTAAATATGGGTGTAACCATCTTGTAGTAAAGTGTAGGAGCTTAAGGTATTATTTCCTCTCAAATTCAAAATGTGTGTAAAACTTAGATTACGTTCTGTTTTAGGAAAGGTAAAACAAGTTTGCCTCATTTGGGAATATTCCTTTGATTCCTCTGGCTGGTCACTTAAGGAGGTAGAGTATGACATTAAAATGAAAATAGGAATATATGGAAAAAGACACAAGAGAGAAACATTCAGACACATTTGCTCGTCTATGAATGCTGATACTGACCTTTAAAATTTGATAAATAATGAATATAGAAAAACTGTTCCTTATAAGTAGTTATCAGAAACAATATCTAAAAATATCTCTTTATCATTTCATAATCCAGATCTAAAAATAAAAAAGAAAACACTTTTTGTTGAGGTTCATTCATAAAATTAGATTTAGGAATTTATGGAGGTTGTTTCCATTAAAAGGGAAAAACAAATTTGACAAGAAGCTCTTGATTCTGTTGAAATTTGAATGTCCTCAAGACATTCCTGCAGTCTACATTATTCCTACTCTCCTCTCTTAATGGTATTAAAAGTGTCATAAGTGTCATAAACCGAATGACACTTTATGACAACAGTCATAAATATTCATGAAGGCTTATTCATGTTCATGACAGGTGTTATGTCATGTTTGTGAAAGTATCATGTCAGTCTTATTCAACCCCCTTCAAATAAAGTGTTACCAGTTTTATTTGTAGTACAAATTGAAAACTATAATTTATTTTCCTTTCTGTACATAATTATATCATACTTTGTTGATTCTCCCTGCACCACAACAACAAGAACTATAATTTGTGGCTGTAATGTGACAAGGGTTCTGAAAACTTATGCAGCTCACTGTGAATTTTAACAACGTTTGTTGTGTTAAAATTTGGATTTAATGCTGCATGGTGGTGCCGTTGCTGTTATCTTGCATCAAGAAGGTCAAGGGGTGAAACTGTAACAGTTTCATACTACCAAAAATTACTAAAACTCATGTTTAGTAACAGGAGAATCAATGAAACCATATTTAATTGTCATATGTTTTAATTATTAAAAGGATTTGTAGTCAATATAATCCTGGTTTATGTTGAATGTCAGTGGTTGTGTTGGGTTTTATTTTATGTCATAGACGGATTTGACAGTAAAGACATTTGATGTTTTAGTGTTTTGGTAGTGCAGTGCCTGTTGGGGCATTTGCTTTTTCTTGGATTTCTAATTGGCTCTGATCCCTTATATTTGGCTACATGTTGAATTGTAGCTGTGCAACAGCATTAAATCTGTTTCTGCTGTGCAAGACTGATATATCTTTGCTAATCAGACTACAAATAGTGGAAATTTGCAGAAGGTGAGAAATTGGGAGGTGGAGGGTTAATTATTGTTGTCTAAGAAGAATGTTATTGTGAGATTAATCTCAAAGAATTCCCAGATGTCAGATTTTCCTCTTGCTGGCTCCATTTCAGACAAGTTTATTTGTGTAGCACGTTTCAGCAACAATGCAGTTCAAAGAGATTTACATCATAAAATCACAAAAATATAGTTATTAAAAAAAACAACAAAATCTACAATTGAGAAAACCAGTAACAAACATTTTTATGAGTGCCATCAATACACATCGAATATGTTGGTCAATGTTCATTTTATTTTGGCCACTGAAGATAAATATTCTCCTCTGATGCATGACCAAATGGACAACAACCCATGAAGCCGTAGCAGGTGCAGGGCTATAGGGAGGACTGGGGGAGCGGCTGCCCCCAGGCCCGGGCCGGATGGGGCCTGGGTCTGGAGGTGCCAGGGAGGGAGGAATAGTTTCAAGTCGCTTTAATGTCTGATTAGACAGAGAAAGTCTGCCCTCACCTGTTCAGAAAGGTGTATGTAATGTTAGTTACTGTCCCTCAATGGAATATATAGTAGTCAGTCCCAGTGACTGTTTCACTCACGGTTTAGCCAATGTGCTTCCTGGGTAAAAATGAAACGAGAAACCATCATTGCCTCAGGGAAACTGAGGCAATGATGATATTTTTATGAACTTGTGTTATTCTGTTAAACTTTAGTGAAACAGGCCCCTGCAATTAAATAGAGCAGCTCCTCTCTGTCCCCTCCCCTTCAGACTTGGAGACTTTGAAGTTAGGTGGAGTCAACATCTAATGAAGGTGAAAGCTGATTGGCTGTAGCCTCTCTGCACTGACACATGATTAGTACATGAGAGCTGAAACTAGTTTTGGTTTTCAGGAAATGAAACTCAAGCAGCCAGTGTGCTTCAGAGCAGCAATGGAGCAGAATCACCTGGACCGAGAAGCTATCTCCTGTTCGATCTGCCTGGATCTACTGAAGGATCCGGTGACGATTCCCTGTGGACACAGCTACTGTATGAACTGTATTAAAGGTTACTGGGATAAAGAGGATCAGAAAAGAATCTACAGCTGCCCACACTGCAGAGAGACATTCACACAAAGGCCTGCACTAAAGAAGAGCATCACATTAGCAGGTTTAGTGGAGCAGCTGAAGAAGACCGGACTCCAAGCTGCTGCTGCTGATCACCGCTATGCTGAATCTGAAGATGTGGCCTGTGATTTCTGCACTGGGAGAAAACTGAAAGCCATCAAGTCCTGTTTATTCTGTCTGGCCTCTTACTGTGAGAAACACCTTCAGCCTCATTATGAAGTGGCTCCTTTAAAGAAACACAAGCTGGTGGAGCCGTCCAAGAACCTCCAGGAGAACATCTGCTCTAAGCATGATGAGGTGATGAAGATGTTCTGCCGCACTGATCAGAAGTTTATCTGTTATCTCTGCTCTGTGGATGAACATAAAGGCCACAACACAGTGTCAGCTGCAGCAGAAAGGACTGAGAGGCAGAGAGAGCTGGAGGAGAGACGAGGAAACATCCAGCAGAGAATCCAGGACAGAGAGAAGAAAGTCAAAGAGCAAAAGGAGAAAGTTCTGTTCATAAATCGCTCTGCTGATAAATCAGTTGAAGCATGTGAGAAAATCTTTATTGATCTGATTCATCTGATCCAGAGAAAAAGTTCTGATGTGAAGAATCACATTAAATCAAAGCAGGAAGCTGACATAAGATGTTATATACATGAACAGAAGAGGTTGGAGCAGGAAATTACTGAGCTGAAGAGGAAAGACACTGAACTGAAGCAGCTCTTGGTTACAGAGGACAACATCCAGTTTCTGAAAAATTACATCCCAGAATCCTTCATTAAAATGCATCAAAACAGAGTTTCTAATTATTCTACGTACAGAATAATTTCTGATTTTCACCAAATATCAAGTCTCAATGATGTAAAAGCAGCTGTCTCAGAAGCTGAAAGTATGGTTCAGGAAACTGTGGCCAACAGATGGATGGAGATTTCCCTGACAGAAGCATCATTAAGTCCCACAGTCAAGGACAGAGATGAACTTTTGAAATATTCCCAGGAGCTAACACTGGACTCAAACACAGCAAACAGATATTTGTCTGTCACAAGAAACAGAGCAGTAAAGAAGGACACAGAACAATTTAAAGACGACTCTGAACGGTTTGATGGAAGCTTCCAAGTGTTGAGTAAAGACTCTCTGAGTCGATGTTCTTACTGGGAGGTGCAGAGCTCTGGTAGATTCACAGTGGCTGTTGCTTACAAAGATATCAGCAGAAAAGCCAGAATAAATGAATGCACATTTGGGCTAAATGAAACCTCCTGGGCTCTGGAGTGCTGCAAACTCATGTATGTATTCAGACACAACAAAACTCTGACTCTGATCTCGGCTCCTCGTTCATCTAAGATAGGAGTGTTCCTGGATTATGGAGCAGGTGTTCTGTCCTTCTACAGCGTCTCTGAATCCACGACTCTCCGCCCTAATAACCGTTTCAGCGTCTCTGGAACCAGGACTCTCCTCCACAGAGTCCAGACCAGATTCACTCAGCCGCTGCTGGCTGGGATACGACTGTATGAAACTGGAGACTCAGCTGAGTTCAGTCAACTCAGACAGGACAGTTTTTATAACACCACAACTCGCCTCAACAGAGTCCAGGCCACACTCACTCAGCCGACGCCTGCTCAAGCACAAACGGTTGAGTCTGACTCTGACTCTGAGTATTCGAGACCGACTCGCCCTATAATATCGATGGAAACGTTTCCTGAGTTTTAAATGTGAGAGAAAGAAGAGCCTGATAGCTGCAGGGAAACGACATTCTACTGTGCAGCAGCTCAGAGAAGAAATGTGCATAGTTTGATATATTACTTTCAAAGTTTGAATTAGTTGTATTTTTTAAAAATGTTCCTCTATTATCCGGTTTACTAGAGTGTTGATGTTAGAATTACTAAGCACTAAAGCCTCCAGGTTGGCCTCTCAGTCTAGTTTTTATGTAAAACAGATTAGTGATCAGAGCATTGTATAGGAAAGAGGCTCAACTAAACTTGTAAGTTGTATATAGTGTATTTGAACTCTATATTATAACCTCATGTCTTCTCTCCATAAAAGCAGGCCGATGAGTCCTAGATACGTCTGGCAACTCAAATAGGTCAGAAAGTTCTCTGAGTTTTAATGTGAGAGAAAGGAAAACCTGATACCTGCAGGGAAATGATATGTAGACTTTTATGCATGATGGATGTGATTGGCCTCTGGTGTTTGTTTCTTTTATTGTCACCTAGAAATATGCATTTACTGAGCTTGTTTGTCAACATCTTATTTAAAGCTATGATTCAGTTCAAAATTACATTTTCCTTAATATTTTAAAACTGGTTTGGGAGAGGGTTTAAGTAATTATTGTGAATTAAATAATCAATGTTAATAAAATATTTAATTCTTTTTCACTGGATTTTTTTCTGTGAACTCAGAAACTGAGGCAATGACGGTATTTTTATGAACTTGTATTCTTGTTACTTAAATCATAAGTTGACTGTTTAGTTTTAAACCAATAGAGCAGTTTCTGTAAAATTAATCATTTTGTAACATATAATCTCTAATAACAGCTTTGTTCTGTTCTTTAGATACAATTCTCCATGTAATACCATGTTGATGTCGCAATTTGCATATATGTGAACCAAAAATAAAGTGTGAACATAGAAGTTGTGGAGAAAAATCTGATCTGTAGGTTTGTGATTTATGAATTGAATGTGTTCTAATATCATCGCCTCCTTCAATAATCTCTTCATCTCAGTTTATTCTGACAGATTTTCCTGCTTCATGGCGGCCATTTTAAAAACCTCCACCATGTTGTTTTCTAGCTCTACAAACTCTGAACATCCTCAGTTTATGTGAGGTTTAACTAAAAACAATCAGTGAACCTGGACAATAAATTTCAGTTTCATAGAATTCAAACTGCTGACAGTTTCTGAAGGAGATTTTATTGACTTTAATAAAATTATAAATTATTCCCCAGGTTAAAAAAGGGAAAGCAGTTCTTTGATCCTGGTTGAACTCATTTTGAGTCCTGTTGCATGAGAGAACAGATATTGTTTTATTGTGGATTTTATGCTTTTAAAAGGAGGAACTTCAGAATAAAGCTGTCATGTTTCTTCACTGTTTAGCTCTGTGGTTGCAAAAGTTTGAACCAAGATTTGACTGAAGCTTCTTGTTCCTTGTGTTTAAATTTATCAGTTTTCTTCTTTAAACACATTTTGTTACATTATAACATCTGCAACAGTTACTTCCATTTAAATTTGTGGGAGGCAGACAAAGGTCAAGGCATCTCATATAAGTTGCTGGATTTAATTCAGATCATTTCAGGTGATAATAGCTTCTCACTTGGTTTAAACATTCATGAAAAAAACTGTGAAACTGTGCAAAGTTCAGAAAATAAACTTTATAGCTGTCTTTTATAATGTTAGAAGTGTTCGTATCTGTTCAAAGATCAGATAAATTATGTTGTTGTGTATTTTTCTATGGATAATGTTATACTCCCAGTGTTCTGGGAAGAGTTTAGATTCGGCCCAGTTCTGTTCCAACACGTCTGACCAGGTCAGGAGTTTAATGAGGAGGAACTTGATCAGGTTACAAAAAGTCCAGATTTCAGCTTGGTACAACAGCTTTGGGATGAAATACAGCAGAGACTGTGCGCCATGTTTTCCTGTCCAACATCAGTGTCTGACTGATAGAATGGTTAAAACATTTAATAAAAACACATTTTAAAGATACTTTCCAGAAGAGTTGAAGTTGTTTTATCTGCAGTCACGTTTACCTGACGTCATACGCATGACATCATATGGCTTGCAAAAGTGTTCATATTCTGAACTTTTCCATATTTTCTCACATTACAACCACAACAATAAAAATATTTCATTAGAATTTAATGAGAAAGAAAAACACAATGTACACAATTGTTAAGCACAACAAAAATGATTCACACTTGGAAACATTTTTTACTAATAACTTTTAGGGTTTGCATAGTGACTGAAATTTTTGTCCATTGTTTTAATCTGACTGAGCTCAAGCAGCTGTATTCAGATGTTGCCACAGATTCTCGGTTGGGTTTAGGTTTGGACTTTGACTAGACCATTCTAACAGATGAATATGTTTTTATTGTAGCTCTGGCTTTGTGTTTAAGGTGATTATCCTGCTGAAAGCTGGAGCTCTGCCCCTGTCTCAAGTCTTTAGACTCAACAGGTTTTCTTCCAACATCGCCCTGAACTTGGCTCCATCCATCGTCCCTTTAACTCTGACCATCTTCCCTGCTGAAGAGAATCATGATGCTGCCACCACCATATTTGACAGTGGTGATGATGTGGTCAGAGTGATGTGCAATGTTGGTTCTCTCTCGGTTTTTATTCATATTATTTTTTGGTATTTTCTGCCAATTTTATATTTGATTTCAGTTTTTCTTTTATCATTTATCTATTTGTGATTGTGAAACATTGAAACATTTTACTCAGCTGATGTTGCTGTTAATGTTCTATGTAGATAAACTTTAACTTTTCCATTTTGGCTAAAAAGTTTAATTTTGTTCTGGTCTGACCAAAGCTCCTTCTTCCACATGTTTGTTGCAGTGGTGGGAAGTAACGAAGTACAAGTACAGGTCCTTCTCAAAAAATTTGCATATTGTGATAAAGTTCATTATTTTCCAAATGTAATGATAAAAAATTAAACTGTCATATATTTTAGATTCATTGCACACAAACTGAAATATTTCAGGTCTTTTATTGTTTTAATACTGTTTTATATTTTAGATTCCTCACATGAACTATCAGGATTACTTACCATCAGTCAGTCGATTTTTATTATTCACATCCCTTGAAATGCTGACTGTGGGGAGGATAAAACCATCTTTCTGTCAGATTTATTGATTGCAAGTTAATATCTACAAATCTCTAAAAATATATCTAATTCATGCGTTTTTATTGAAATTGCAAACCATTGAAACAATTTTTGTTTGTTGTTTTTATTTAAGACTTTTTACCTGACCCGGTGTTTTCTGAACTGAACTGAACAGAATAAAATTGTTTATTGTTTTAATCTCAAACCAGTCCTCTTCCTGGAATCAGTCCCTGAAAATCCTTATTTTTCTTCCCGCATTTAAAACCAGCAGCTCCTCTTTATTACCAGGTTTCTTTTCTCCCTTCCTGATCTGAAACTTGAAACTGGGTGGAGCCAATGGGTGCTGAAGGTGAACGCTGATTGGCTGCTGCCTTTCTGATCTGAAACCTGATTGGATCTACTGACGGATCCGGTCACTATTCCCTGTGGACACAGCTACTGTATGAACTGTATTAAAAGCTTCTGGGATGAAGGTGAGGAGAAGAAAAGCTACCACTGTCCTCAGTGTGGGAAAACCTTCACACAAAGGCCTGATCTGGAGAAAAACACCATGTTAGCAGCTTTAGTGGAGCAGCTGAAGAAGACTGGACTCCAAGCTGCTCCTGCTGATCACCGCTATGCTGGACCTGAAGATGTGGCCTGTGATTTCTGCACTGGAAGAAAACTGAAAGCCATCAAGTCCTGTTTAGTCTGTCTGGCCTCTTACTGTGAGAAACACCTTCAGCCTCATTATGAAGTGGCTCCTTTAAAGAAACACAAGCTGGTGGAGCCGTCCAAGAACCTCCAGGAGAACATTTGCTCTACGCATGGTAAGGTGATCGACATCTTCTGCCGCAAGGATAAGAAATGTATCTGTTATCTCTGCTCTGTGGATGAACATCAAGGTCACGACACAGTGTCAGCTGCAACAGAAAGGACTGAGAGGCAGAGAGAGCTGGAGGAGAGACGAGGAAACATCCAGCAGAGAATCCAGGACAGAGAGAAAGATGTGAAGCTGCTTCAACAGGAGGTGGAGGCCATCAATCACTCTGCTGATAAAACAGTGGAGGACAGTGAGAAGATCTTCACTGAGCTGATCCGTCTCCTCCAGAAAAGAAGCTCTGATGTGAAGCAGCAGATCAGATCCCAGCAGGAAACTGAAGTGAGTCGAGTCAAAGATGTTCAGGAGAAGCTGGAGCAGGAGATCACTGAGCTGAAGAGGAAAGACGCTGAGCTGGAGCAGCTCTCACACACAGAGGATCACAACCAGTTTCTCCTCAACTACCCCTCACTGCCAGCACTCAGTGAGTCGACACACTCATCCAGCATCAACATCCGTCCTCTGAGACACTTTGAGGACGTGACAGCAGCTGTGTCAGAGCTCATAGATGAACTACAGGACGTCCTGAGAGACTCATGGACAAACATCTCACTGAAAATCACTGAGGTGGATGTTCTACTGTCAGGACCAGAATCAGGACCAGAACCAACGACAAGGGCTGGGTTCTTAAGATATTCATGTGAAATCACATTGAATCTAAATACAGCTCACACAATGCTGGTTCTGTCAGAGGGAAACAGGAAGGTGACAAGATTGGATCAACATAAGATTTATCGTAGTCATCCAGACAGATTCACTGATCACTGTCAGGTTCTGAGTAGAGAGAGTCTGACTTGACGTTGTTACTGGGAGGTGGAGTGGAAAGGTGACCCTCAGGTAGCAGTCACATACAATAATATCAGCAGAGAGGGAAGAGGGGATGGATGTACTTTTGGATATGATGACAAATCTTGGGCAATTGATTTTTACCATGCTAAGCTTTGTCACAACAACATATGGACCAAACTCTCAAGTTATGTTTCCTCCGGAGTCGGAGTGTACCTGGACCACAGAGCAGGTATTCTGTCCTTGTATAATGTCTCTGAATCCATGACTCTGATCCACAGAGTCCAGACCAGATTCACTCAGCTGCTGCATGTTGGGATTCGACTTGTAAACACTCAAGACTCTGCAGAGTTCTGTAAACTTAAATAGTGTCTTTTCTCTCAGTACATTCCTGAGTTATGTGACTTCAGGTATCTGGACTAGAGTTTAATTTCTTTCATTCTTTAATGTTTTCATATGTGTGTGTATTTATGAAGACAGGTGATCATGCTGTTTTTCATTCCACAATTGTTTTTTGTTTTTGTTTGATATTTCTCAATCTATTTTTTTGGAAGTTTTTTCTTCTTTGGGCAGAAATATCTTATTTTTTTGTGTTTGTGCCTCAACAAGATATCCTTGTGTATAAAGTTATCTTAGTGTCTGTTCTCTAGGATATTGTTTTGTCTTCATGTCATATTTGTATGAATTTGTTGATTGATAATGTCTGATATCTGCATCTTTAAGACATTTTTTGCTCATACTTCAGCCCATCTAAAACTTGTCTTGTCATAAATACAATGTGATAGAAATATGAGAAGTATATTAAGACGTTGATATGAAGGCTGTTGATTCAGTCATTTATACATTACTTCTGTCTGTTTGATAAATCCAATAAACAAATTTGAACTGCATAACTTGTTTTATGTATAGACTTTATTTTTTGAGACCTTTTTTTATCCTCTGTAAATGGTGCTGCTGTGAAAATCAGCAAACCAGTGAGGGATCCTTGTTGACATGTTTATGATTATAATTGATGTAAAAAGAATTTATACCTAATATTTTTATGCTTTAAAATGGATAAGCTTTCATAATAAGGACAGCGTTCAAATCCGTTTTTCAAGTCAAGTCTCTAAAGACTCGAACATGATTTTTTTGGTGTTTGTCCTTTTGTCTGAATTACATTAACAGAAAAATAATCCTCAAATATTTTAATACTTATAAACATTAATTGTTTAATATTTTAACATTTAACTCACTAGTCTCAGTTCTGCTAAGAGCTGATTCACTTGAATTATAAGATTTGATTAAATGTGTCATTTACCCTTGAAATCTACATTCAAACTGTAAAAAGAGGAGATTAAATCCTGTTTAATTTGTGAATGAATCAAACTACTTTTTTGTTTTTGTAATGACAAAGTTAACACTTGTTTATCTGTGTTTTCATAATGTCTTCTCCTTCAATATAAATTATACTAAATGCTTTGGAGGATTTGGAGAAAAAAATCATCTCCAAAAATATTCCTAAAACCTTTGTGAAGAACTGTTAAAGCTAGCATTTACGTATACCTTTATATTTTAAGACACTATTCAATTCTTAATTATTTTTTGGGCTAAAGTTATTAAGAGCCACAGGTTGCAGACCCCTGGTCTAGATGCTAGCATGTTAGCTTTAGCAACTACATGCTAACTTTAGCAGCTTGTCAATGGGACGCTGCCCAAAACGGCAGACCCCGTCCAAACAATGACCCATCACATGATTTCTGTTAACCTGAAAGTTTGTCAGGTTAGAGATGAACAGAAACATGAGCAGTGACCATAAAGAGGTTGAGATCATAGGATTACAGCACCACCTAGTGGCTGACTGAGCAATTAGCCAAAACTGCAACACGAGTATATAAACCTCTGAACTGTCTGGATGGATTCCTAGAAAGTCTCACAGCCTCTTCGATTGTTGGATTTTATTTAGATGTTTTTGCCTTTGTTAGTTTTTTAAACTGTATTTGGTGCCTTTAGTTTGGTTTTGTCCATCAATGCATTGACGCCTCTTCTGCAAAGAAAATAAAATAAATGAATATGAAGACATCAGGGATCCACTGATAACAGCTTTTCATAACATGCTTACCTGCAAGAGGCTTAACTGAAGACAAAATGTCAACTTTGCATTATTTTGTAAATAATGATTAATGCAAAGTTGGAACTGTCTGCTTCAGACAGGCCTGCTGTGTGAATAACTAAGTTCTGTTGTTGAAGTTCAGTGAATCCCAGTTAACTCCAATTTATATTTCTATTAGAATTTAGTGAAACACGTCCCTGCATTTAAACCCAGCAGCTCATCTCATTCACCTCAGGTTACCTTGTTTTCTCCCTTCCTGATCTGAAATCTGATGCTGGGTGGAGCCAACAGGTGCTCAAGGTGAAAGCTGATTGGCTGCTGCCTCTCTGCACTGAAACCTGATTGGTAGCTCAGAGCTCAAACTAGTTTCTGTTCTCATGAAGTGAAACTCACACAGCCATTGTTACTGAGAGGAAAAATGGCGCAGCAAGCAGTTCAACTGGACCGAGAAACTTTCTCCTGTTCGATCTGTTTGGATCTACTGAAGGATCCGGTGGCGATTCCCTGTGGACACAGCTACTGTATGAACTGTATTAACGATCACTGGGATGGAGAGGATCAGAAAGGAATCCACAGCTGCCCTGAGTGCAGAGAGACATTCACACCAAGACCTGTACTAAAGAAAAACACAATTCTAGCAGCTTTAGTGGAGCAGATGAAGAAGACCGGATTCCAAGCTGCTCCTGCTGATCATCGTTATACTGTTCATGAAGATGTGGCCTGTGATTTCTGCACTGGAAAAAAGCTGAAAGCCATCAAGTCCTGTTTAGTCTGTCTGGCCTCTTACTGTGAGAAACACATTCAACCTCATTATGAAGTGGCTCCTTTAAAGAAACACAAGCTGGTGGAGCCGTCCAAGAACCTCCAGGAGAACATCTGCTCTAAGCATGGTAAGGTGATTGATATCTTCTGCTGCAAGGATAAGAAATGTATCTGTTATCTCTGCTCTGTGGATGAACATAAAGGCCACAACACAGTGTCAGCTGCAGCAGAAAGAGCTGAGAGGCAGAGAGAGCTGGAGGAGAGACGAGGAAACATCCAGCAGAGAATCCAGGACAGAGAGAAAGATGTGAAGCTGCTTCAACAGGAGGTGGAGGCCATCAATCACTCTGCTGATAAAACAGTGGAGGACAGTGAGAAGATCTTCACTGAGCTGATCCGTCTCCTCCAGAAAAGAAGCTCTGATGTGAAGCAGCAGATCAGATCCCAGCAGGAAACTGAAGTGAGTCGAGTCAAAGATGTTCAGGAGAAGCTGGAGCAGGAGATCACTGAGCTGAAGAGGAAAGACGCTGAGCTGGAGCAGCTCTCACACACAGAGGATCACAACCAGTTTCTCCTCAACTACCCCTCACTGCCAGCACTCAGGGAGTCGACACACTCATCCAGCATCAACATCCGTCCTCTGAGACACTTTGAGGACGTGACAGCAGCTGTGTCAGAGCTCAGAGACAAACTACAGGACGTCCTGAGAGACTCATGGACAAACATCTCACTGATGGTCACTGAGGTGGATGTTTCACCATCAGAACCTGAATCAGGACCAGAACCAACAACAAGGGCTGGGTTCTTGAAATATTCATGTAAAATCACAATGGATCCAAACACGGCTCACACAATGCTGGTTCTGTCAGAGGGAAACAGGAAGGTGACGAGGATGGATCAACATCAGATTTATCCAAATCATCCAGACAGATTCACTGATTGGTGTCAGGTTCTGAGTAGAGAGAGTCTGACTGGACGTTGTTACTGGGAGGTGTGTGGTTCTGTAGTACTCTCATACAAGAGTATCAGCAGAGTAGGAAGAGGGGATGAATGTAGATTTGGATATAACGACAAATCTTGGGTATTAGAAGGTATAAGACTTTTACACAACAACAAAAACATCTTCATCTCAGATCCAGTTTCCTCCAGAGTTGGAGTGTACCTGGACCACAGAGCAGGTATTCTGTCCTTCTACAACGTCTCTGAAACCATGACTCTGATCCACAGATTCCAGATCAGATTCACTGAGCCGCTTCACGCTGGAGTTTCTGGTTCTGCAGAGTTCTATAAGCTTAAATAATATCTGTTTATTGAGTTATTTTCTCTCAGGTCTCTGCATTGTAGTTTAATTTCTCTTATTTTTTGTTTTTAACTGTTGTTTTCATATATCTGATCAACTATTAGAACTTAGTCAAATTGAAAATTGTATTTTTATTTTACTAAATTTGTATTTTTTTCTGTTTCTGTATTTTTGTGGCATTTTCTTCTTTTGACAGAAAATTATCTTAAATTTGTTTGTGTGCTAGTACCTTGTCTTGAGGTATTCTCTGTATATTACGTCATGTTTAGTTTAGTATCTGTCCTCCATGATATTGTTGTGCCTTTTATCATAATTGCATGAATCTCTTTAGCAATAGTGTCTGATAGGCATCACAGATCTGTGCATCATTTAAACATAATTTTGTTCAGATTTTGTCAGCCCCTGTGGAACTTCTCATTTAAAAAATATGATATAAATATCAGAAGTATATTAAGACTAATAAAAAGTATAAGGATGCTGTTAACTCTGTCATTTATAATTCATATCTGTTTCATAGATCCAATAAACTGATTTAAAACAAGCTGTGATTTGTCTAGACTACTTTTTCTGATTTTTTTTTTTCCACACCGATTGGTTTTGTCAAAATCAGCAAACCACTGAAGGATCTTAGCTGCAGACTTTAAAATCATCACTGATGAAAAATAATTTGTAATTCCTACAGTTACTCTTTCATACAGAAAAGCTTTCATTATAAGAACAACTTTCAAAGACATATTTACAAATCCTTTCATTCCAAGTCAAACCTCAACTTTCTAGGCTGAAATGAATATGAAATAAACATGTTCAATTATAACATTTTCATAAAGTTTGTCACTTCTAACTGCATCAGTGTAGCTACGAATCCAAATCTTGAGTGTTTTCCTTTTGTCTAAATTACATCATTAACATTTAATGCTGATCTTCAAATCTTTTAATATTTATGAAAAGTTTTATTTTAATATTTTAACATTTAATTCACCATTCACAAATCTGCCAAAGGCTAAATTATGTTGCTTTGAAAGTTATAAAATTTAACCCTTTACCCCTTTAGTGTTATAAATACACATTGAAGCTATAAAACAGAGATAAACTCTGAGTTTTCACAGGAGCTAACACTGGATTCAAACACAGCAAAACAGATATTAGTCTATCAAAAGAACCAAAGCAGTAAAGAAGGACACAGAATTTAAAGATAATCCTGAATGTTTGAACATTGCTTCCAGGTGCTGAGTAAAGACTCTCTGATTTAGAGTCCCAGTTGACGGCGTTTCAACTAAAAACCTAGAGGTTGGAGTCCTTGTCAAACAGTGTTTTTGACTAAAGTCCCAGAGGGTTAGAGCCCCAGTTAAACGACATTTAACTGAAGTCATCAAAGGGGTTTTAATGTTTTTATCTTTTTTAATCTTTTTCAAAATGTCTTTCTCTTTCTCTCTGTTTATTCAATGTCACAAGCTGTTTTTATTTTAATTATGTAAAACACTTCAAAATGCCTTGCTGCTGAAATGTGCTATACAAATAAAATTTGATTGATTGATTGATTGACTGAATGGATGTTCTTACTGGGAGGTGCAGAGCTCTGGTAGATTCACAGAGGCAGTTGCTTACAAAGATATCAGCAGAAAAGCCAGAATAAATGAATGCACATTTGGGCTAAATGAAACCTCCTGGGCTCTGGAGTGCTGCAAACTCATGTATGTATTCAGACACAACAAAACTCTGACTCTGATCTCGGCTCCTCGTTCATCTAAGATAGGAGTGTTCCTGGACCACAGAGCAGGTGTTCTGTCCTTCTACAGCGTCTCTGGAACCACGACTCTCCTCCACAGAGTCCAGACCAGATTCACTCAGCCGCTGCTGGCTGGGATACGACTGTATGAAACTGGAGACTCTGCTGAGTTCAGTCAACTCGGACGAGTCAGAAAGTTTCCTGAGTTTTAATGTGAGAGAAAGAAAAGCCTGATATGTGCAGGGGAATTATAATCTACTATGCAGCAGCTCAGAGAAGTAAAGTGTAAAGTTCTTTACATTACTAACAAAGGGATTCATATTTTTTAATAAATGTGACCCAGTTAACAGAGCTGTTCATTAAATTGTTGATATTAACAAGGATTACAACCTCCACTGGTCAGTCATTCAATCTAGTTTTTTGTTTAATCTAAACAGGACAGAGACAGACTAAATATGTACCTATTGTGTATATTTTATTTTGTTTCTATATTCTAACATCACAGAATATAGAATATATGGGTAGCACAGACTGTTACCCATAAAATCAGTCTGTATTTCTATAGATGTTTGTTTGAAGTCGTTTTATTGTCAGCTGATGGACTAAATTAACAAACTTTCCCTTATTTGTTTCCCAGGATCTATTAGTAATTTTATATTTTGCTACATGAATAAACACAATCAAAGCCCAGTTACTCAATCACATTTTATTCTACTTCAGGTTCAGTTTGGCTCTTTACATCGTAAGACAATAATAATACTCTGAATTATTTTGTTAAGCTCAAAACAAAATTTAGATTTTGGCAGATTTACATTTAAATTGATTTTCAAACAAGGACATCTATTAATTTATCATGAATAAATCTAAAAAGATCATCAATTTTGAACAAAATACTTTCTGACTCAATATATATTTTATTTCTTAAAAATGGAAAATTAAACCCTTCCCAATAATAAACCGATTGCTTGGCAATGCAACTCTTCTCTTCTAAGCAACTTTCTGAAAATATTTATCGGTAATTTTAATGATTTCTCTTTGCTGAGGAGCTCCAAGTCCCAGAGGTGGAACAGCCTCTTGCCATCACCCTAATCTTTAACTCCCTTCTCAGATTCACTTTAAAACTCTGGATGAGCCACTCCAACCTGTTAATATTCAGTCAGAAGAAAAGAAGAAACATGTTAGTCTGATTTTAAAAGGACATTAAGCCTCAATCTCTAACGATATGAATAATTACTGATTTCAAGCTGACTCAGTTTAACATAAGATTTAACATTATATTTTAAAACAGCGTTGTAGGATTTTTGAGTAATTATTGTAAATTAAATAATGAATGTTAATAAAAATGTTTCATTTCTTTTTGACATGGTTGTTATTCTGTAAACTCAGGAAACTGAGGCGGTGATGGTTTTTATATGAACTTTTGTTATTCTGTTAAACATTAGTGAAAAGGGCATTTAAACAGAGCAGCTCCTCTCTGTTCCGTCCCTTTGAGGACTTTAAAGTAGGTGGAGCCAATGTTTAATGAAGGTGAAAGCTGATTGGCTGCAGCCTCTCTACACTGACATGTGAGTGCATGTGAGCTGAAACTAGTTTCTGTTTTCAGGAAGTGAAACTCATAGCCACTGTGGTTGAGAGCAGCAATGGAGCAGAATCAGTTGGACCGAGAAACTTTCTCCTGTTCGATCTGTTTGGATCTCCTGAAGGATCCGGTGACTACTACCTGTGGACACAGCTACTGTATGAACTGTATTAAAGGTTACTGGGATAAAGAGGATCAGAAAAGAATCCACAGCTGCCCTCAGTGCAGGAAGACATTCACACCAAGGCCTGTTCTGCAGAAGAGCACCATGCTAGCAGCTTTAGTGGAGCAGCTGCAGAAGACCGGACTCCAAGCTGCTGCTGCTGATCACTGCTATGCTGGACCTGAAGATGTGGCCTGTAATTTCTGCACTGGAAGAAAACTGAAAGCCATCAAGTCCTGTTTATTCTGTTTGGTCTCTTACTGTGAGAAACACCTTCAGCCTCATTATGAAGTGGCTCATTTAAAGAAACACAAGCTGGTGGAGCCGTCCAAGAACCTCCAGGAGAACATCTGCTCTACGCATGATGAGGTGAAGAAGATGTTCTGCCGCACTGATCAGAAGTGTGTCTGTGCTTTCTGTTTACTGGAGGAACATAGAGGGCATGACACAGTGTCAGCTGCAGCAGAAAGAGCTGAGAGGCAGAGAGAGCTGGAGGAGAGACGAGGAAACATCCAGCAGAGAATCCAGAACAGAGGGAAAGATGTGAAAGAGGAAAAAGAAAAAGTTCTGTTCATAAATCGCTCTGCTAAAAAATCAGTTGAAGCGTGTGAAAAGATTTGTACTGAACTAATCCGTCAGATCAAGAAAAAAAGCTCTGATGTGAAGAAGTACATAGAAGCAAAGCAGAAAACTGAAGTCTGTGAAGCTGAAAAAAAACAGAAGGAGTTCAAGAAAGAGATCACTGAGCTGAAGAGGGAAGACGCCGAACTGGAGAAGCTCTCACACACAGAGGACGACATCCAGTTTCTGAAAAAATATATTCCAGAACCAGAACCCTCTGATTCTAGCTCTGATTCTGGCTCTGGTTCTGGCTCTGGTTCTGGCTCCGGTTCTGGTTCCGGCTCTGGTTCCGATTCTGATTCCGGTTCTGAACCAGAACCATTTTGTTCTGGTTCTGAAGCCAGAACCAGCACGAGAGGTCCTGCAACCAGAAGTTCTGGTATTGGAACCAGAGATTCTCCCTGCTTCAGAATGCCTTGTATTCCCCCACCATGGTGTCTTGATAAAATTAAAGCAGCTGTCTCAGAGGCTGAGAGTACGATTGAGGAAATAGTGGGCAATAGGTGGATGGATATTTCCCTGGTGGAGATTGGTTCAGGGGCTTCATCATCAACTCCCACAGAGGGGCTGATGGACAGAGATGATCTCTTGAAATATTCCCAGGAGCTAACACTGGACTCAAACACAGCAAACAGATATTTGTCTGTCACAGGAAACAGAGCAGTAAAGAAGGACACAGAACAATTTAAAGACGACTCTGAACGGTTTGATGGAAGCTTCCAAGTGCTGAGTAAAGACTCTCTGAATCGATGTTCTTACTGGGAGGTGGAGAGCTCTGGTAGATTCACAGTGGCTGTTGCTTACAAAGATATCAGGGAAACAGGCCGACTAAGTGACTACACATTTGGGCTAAATGAAACCTCCTGGGCTCTGGAGTGCTGCAAACTCATGTATGTATTCAGACATAACAAAACTCTGACTCTGATCTCGGCTCCTTGTTCATCTACAATAAGAGTGTTCCTGGATTATGGAGCAGGTATTCTGTCCTTCTACAGCGTCTCTGAATCCACGACTCTCCGCCCTAATAACCGTTTCAGCGTCTCTGAATCCAGGACTCTCCTCCACAGAGTCCAGACCAGATTCACTCAGCCGCTGCTGGCTGGGATACGACTGTATGAAACTGGAGGCTCAGCTGAGTTCAGTCAACTCAGACGGGTCAGAAAGTGTCCTAAGTTTTAATGTGAGAAAGAAGAGCCTGATACCTGCAGGGAAACGATATTCTACTGTGCAGCAGCTCAGAGAAGAAATGTGTAAAGTTTTGATATATTACTGTCAAAGTTTGAATTACTTGTATTTTTTATAAATGTTCCTCTGTTTTCTGGTTTACTAGACTGTTGATGTTAGAATTACTAAGCATTAAAACCTCCAGATTGGCCTCAGTCTAGTTTTTATGTGTAATGGAATGTAAGATAATGTATATCAGAGCATTTTATAGGACAGAGGCTGAACTGAACTAGTTGTATGTAAAGTATTTTAACTCTATATTGTAACCTCATGTCTTCTCTCCATTAAAGCAGTCTGTGTTTCTATGAATGACGTTTGCTTCTTTTATTGTCACCTCGAAATGTGTATTTACTAAGTTTGTTTGTCAACATCTGATTTAAAGCTATGATTGAGTTCAAAATTACATTTTCCTTAATATTTTAAAACTGGTTTGTGGGGGAAGGTTTGAGTAATTATTGTAAATTAAATCAATATAAATTGATATGTCATTTCAGTTTCACTTGGATTTTCCCTGTGAACACAGAAAACTGAGGGGATGATGGTATTTTTATGAACTTGCATTCTTGTTACTTAAATCATAAGTTGATTCTGTTTAGTTTTAAACCAATAGAGCAGTTTCTGTAAAATTAATCATTTTGTAACTGTAAATAGTTATCATTCCTAACTGCTTCCTTCTGTCCTTTGGATACCAGTGGTAAATGTCTCAGTGGATTTATATGATAATGTTGTAATTTACAGAATGTGTTGAGAAAATATGTGAATCAAAATAAAGTGTGGAGAAAAATATAATCTGTAATTCTTTGATTTATGAGTTTAATTTTTTTTTACAAGATGGTTTTATTAGAATTTTCTGCTATACAGACATACAAAAACAAACACAACCCCCCCCACCTCCCAAAAAAAACATAAAAAGTAAAGCAAAAAAAAAATAATAATTTACATACAGCGCATTCTCTCCCCCCACCCAAAAAGAACACTGAACCCCAGGGCTCACTCTATCTACACAAAAAGAAAAGAAAAATTAGCTTTACATATCACAGTATTTGACAAGATGTAAGAAAGGAAACCAAATATCTTTAAAGTCTTCAAGCTTTCCTTTTGTTAAATATGTCAGCTTTTCCATTGCCAGGTTGTTGCTCAATAGTTTAATCCATTCATTTATCTTTGGTCTTTCTGTGTTCCTCCACTTCAGAGCAATCAAATGTTTAGCCTGCAAGAGGCAAAAAGTCACAAGCTTCTGTCTCTTTGTAGGACCTTTAAATCCATCTGGGAAAATATGCAGTAAGCAAAGTTTACTGTCCATTGGAACATCCTGTTCGATCAAACGAGAGATGAACATAATAACCTCCTTCCAGAAAGTTTGAAGCTCTACACATTGCCACATACAATGGAAAAGAGTACCCTTATCTATATTACATTTAACACAGATATCAGGAATATTTGAATTAAAATGGTGAAGTTTTACAGGAGTGATATACGTTCTAAATAACCATTTGTATTGCAATAGTCTAAACCTTGTGTTAATAGTTTGCATTTGTGCCAATAGACATGAGTTATTCCATTCATCCTCAGGGATTTCCGTTTGCAGATCAGTTTTCCAGGCTTGTAAATATGAGAGACTATTTTCTTTTGAAGCTAAAAGTAAAATATTATAAAATTTGGAAAGTAGGCCTCTACTCTGATTATGGTGAACAGCTATATTCTCTATGGTAGAGAGTGGAGGTTCAGTCGTAGATTTCAGAGAGGCAAAAATAAAACTTCTAATCTGTAAATACTTAAAAAAATGCTTTTGGGGCAGGCTGTACTTATTTACCAGTTGTTCAAAGGACATCAAAACTCCTTCACTATAAAGGTCCCCTATTTTATTTAAGCCTTTATTCATCCATATTCTAAACCCCCTGTCTGTTCTTCCCGGTTTGAATCTATTGTTTCCCCAAATAGGCGATAGACATGAGATCTTGGACACCTCATCTAAAACTGTATGGGAGTAGTGCCAAACTGATATTGTGTTTTTGAGAAAAGGATTTTTGGTGTTTTTTAATAGATATTTAAGTTCAGCTGAGTAAAAATAGGATGTCAAAGGTAATGTTACCGAGTTGTTTTCTATTTGTACCCAACAGGGTATGTCACCGGTTGAAAAATAACAGGAAGCAGCACAAAGCTGCGCAGCACAATAATACAATTTAATGTTCGGCACTCTAAGCCCACCTCGATCGTAGGGTAGATAAAGAAGAGAGAGTCGCAATCTGGAGCGTTTATTGTTCCATATAAATTTGTTAAAGGCTTTATCCAAAGAAGAAAAGAAGGAAGCTGGAATGTGTAAAGGAATGGACTGGAAAAGGTATAAGAACTTTGGGAGAATGGACATTTTAATAATGTTAATACGACCTATCATTGAGATTGGCATCTCGCTCCATCTTTCTAGGGAAACTAATATTTTCTGCACTAAAGGATCATAATTTATAGAAACCATTTTCTCTATATCTCGGTCAATCTTAATTCCCATGTAAGTAAAGCCCTCATCGGTACATGTGAATTGCGTTTGTATTGGAGGGTTATTTCTGTTCAGCATTAATAAGGAGCTTTTCTTTTGGTTGACTTTATATCCTGAGAATTCTCCAAATTCCTTCAGGATTTTATCAACAGCTTGAATAGACTTTTCCAGATTAGCTAAAAACAAAACAATGTCATCTGCAAAAAGAGACAATCGGTGCTCTACATCCCCAATTTGAATGCCAGGGGATTTACGTATTGCTATGGCAAGCCGTTCAATGGCAAATAAGAAAAGAAGGGGGGACAGTGGGCATCCCTGTCGTGTCGATCTACAGAGGTTTATACATCTTGACAGTTGACCGTTTGTTGCAACTTTAGCCACTGGCTCAGTGTATAGTAATTGAATCCATTTTAAATATTTTCCTCCTAGGCCGAATCTCTTAAGGGTATCAAAGAGGTAACTCCATTCAATCCTATCGAAAGCTTTTTCAGCATCTAATGACAGAAAGGCATGATCCATAGCAAACTGTTTTGCATATAATATGTTAAGTAATCGGCGGGTATTGTGAAAGGCTTGGCGCCCAATAACAAATCCGTTTTGGTCATTTGAGATTAAATTAGGGATATGCGTTTCAATCCTTCGAGCCAAAGCTTTGCATAGAATTTTTGTGTCACAGGACATTAAAGAAATGGGTCTATATGAGCCCATTTCTGTTGGGGGTTTGCCTGGCTTCAATAAAAGAGAAATAGTTGCCAAACGTAATGATGGAGGTAGGGTGCCTTTTTCATAAGATTCATTGAACGCTTCAAGTAGAGGGGGCAGTAGTTTATCTGGAAATTTCTTATAAAGTTCAATTGGTAGGCCATCGGGGCCAGGAGCTTTACCAGAGTTCATGTGGCTTAAAGCCATTTTAAGTTCTTCAACACTCAGCTTTTCATCCAAATTTTTTCTACTCTCTTCTGACAGGGTTGGAAACTGAAGTTGGTCCAGAAAATGCTTCTGTTTGTTTGTGTTGTCTGGATATTGTGATGTATATAAATTTTGATAATATTTTGCAAAAGCATCATTTATACTTATTGGATCCACCAGATTCTCACCATTATTTAATTTGATTAAATTTATGGCCCGATTTGTCTGTAACTTTTTAAGCCTCCAGGCTAAGAGTTTTCCTGCCTTCTCACCCTGATCGTAATATGATTGTTTTAACCACAATAGATTAGTTGCTATTTTGCTGGTAGTGAGCTCGTTATATTCTGATTTTAATAAAAGAAGTCTCCTATATTTGTCAGTGTCATTGCAGTAACACATCTGTTCCTGCAATTCTTTGATTTGTTTTTCAATGTTTTTTAGTTTATTCAAATGGAGTCTTGATTTGTGCCTAGTATAGCTCAATATTTCCCCCCTTATATAGGCTTTAAATGCTTCCCATTATATTGATGCACTGGTTTGGTTTGTATTAAAATTGAAATACTGAGTTATTTTCCCTTCAAGAAATTCCTCGAACCCTTCAGACTTAAACCATTTAGCTTGAAATCGAAATGGGATTGAAGACCGACAATAGTTTGGTAATTTTATTGATAGGGTAACTGGAGCGTGATCAGAGTAGAATAGCTTCATACCAACATTTTTGAACTGTAGATAATAGACTAGAAGAGATCAGAAAAAAGTCTATTCGCGAGTAAGTTTTAAAGGTGCTTGAAAAGCAAGAGTACTCTGTTTTATTTGGAAAAAGTTGTCTCCAAACCTCAACTAAATTTAGATCTTTCATATATTTCTTGATGGTTTTCCTGGCTTGTTGGTGGGACATGACAGAACTATTTGAGCATTTCTATCGCAGGATTCAAAACACAATTGAAATCTCCACCAATTATAAATGGACCGTTATAAGCTGACATGGTTAAAAACAAATTTTGGTAAAAGGCAGGATCATCACCATTGGGCGCATATAGACATACAAAGTTGACCATTGTAGAGATTATAGTCCCACTAAGAATGAGAAATCTCCCTGATGGGTCAAAGTATTTATTTTTAGTTCAAATGGAATTGATTTGTGAATCAGTATTATGACTCCCCTGGCATGGGTTGTAAAACTAGAGGAGAATACCTGACCAGGCCACCTGGGTCTAATTTTATTCACGTCTTTTTCCAATCAAATGTTTCTCTTGCAAAAAGCATATTGTAGTTTTCATCTGTTTGATCCTGCCCATCACTTGTTTAAGCTTGACCATTTTGTTCAGACCTCTAACATTCCAACTAGATATATTAATTATAGGACAAACAGACATAAATTGTGTAATAGGAGATGTAAACAAATAAAATACATTGGCCCCTTCCTATTCTCTCATTCAAGTAGTGTAAAGTCCACAAAAATACAGTATCCGGAGTGAGCCCTATAACCCAAAAATATTTTGTTCCCCCATCCTAACTTTGGCAAAAAAGAAAGCAAATGTTATGAAAATCACAGGATTTGTTGTTGATGATGAGTGGAATCAACACAGTAAAAGACTTGCAGGTAAATTAATTTGTTTCCATTTTATTGAGGGGGAACACATTATTTCAGGCCGCTGAAATATCCATTCTCTCCTCTCCTCCCCCCGTAACTTTGGGAAATAAAAAGTAACTGTTTCTAAATTCTAAAAAAATATTATATGTGATAGCATACTAGACATTTTCATATTTTCCTTATTTTACATTAGAATGGGATTGACCAAAAAGTTTACACTCTGATCTTTTCAGGAAGTCTTTATTTTTGTGCCCTGCTATCAGCCAGCTTTCCTCCTCCTTTATCACAAATGAAAAATTATAAATGCACACTAAGTGTTGGGAACCTGTGTTTGTAGACTGACTTTTATTTGTCAGGCTTACGAGAGCTGAAAAAAAATATCGATTCTCTTCGCGTTTAAAATAACACAAAACA